ATCTTGAAACAACTCTACCTCACTTACTCCAAAGATTAAAGTTAAAATTTCCCAGATTGTGTGGTTATGTCCCTGAATTGTAAATAACAGTTACCTACAATTGAAGGGGCTCATCCTAATGTTCTCTTAAGTCCAGATTTGTTATATTGTTTCAGCTCATCTGAAAAAAAACAAGAGAAAAAGTGAATAAGTAGAATTAAGTTCAGGAACAGAATAGGCATTCATCTCTGAAAAATCCAGTAAAGTTGCATTATGATGTCGACTCTGGCCTTGTTTACAGGAAGAACCTTGTTCTTTAGGTTTGAAATGTTTTTAGCTCATAATCTTCACATTTATTTCTTCATCACTCTGCAGATTATGACCTCCAAACAAAACCACATATCTAAACAGTGTTATTTTGGTGGGTGGGGGAAGGGAGGGAAGAAGAAGAAAAGAGAGCATGATCAGTAATAACAATAACATGTAATAGTGGGTTACTTGAATATTTCAGTTAAAGGAGGAATAGTCTTTTGTTTTTTAATTTTTTTTAACGTTTATTTATTTTTGAGAGAGAGACAGTGTGAGCAGGGGAGGGGCAGAGAGAGAGGGAGACACAGAATCTGAAGCAGGCTCCAGGCTCTGAGCAGTCTGTACAGAGCCTGACTTGGGGCTCGAACTAATGAACCAGGAGATCATGACCTGAGCTGAAGTCAGACGCTTAACCAACTGAACCAACCAGGTGCCCCAGGAACAATCTTTTTTAAGATAAAATGGAAAAGATGGGGCTGGGATTCAGAAAATCGAGATTCTCTTGCCTGTTGACTATAAGACTTTGAACTATCAAATAAGAATCTAGGGTAAGTGGCACCCAAACTGTTTCTTCCCTAAGAGAGACATTTCCTTATTTGTACTGAAAATAGTACACAGCAGTTCTTTCTCTCTACCTCATAGATGATGAAAGCAAGTATAAAAGTAAATATTCATGGAGCACCTGGCTGGCTCAGTTGGTAGAGCATGTGACCCTTGATCTCAAGGTTGTGAGTTCAAACCCCACGTTGGGTGTAGAGATGACTTAAAAATACAATCTTAAAAAAAAATAGTAAATATTCCTTGACTTTTATTAAAGTTTTAAAATAAAATATTTTAGAAATCCAAAGTATCATGAACAATTTCAAAAATATCTAACCTGTATGAAATTCTCTTGAGCAAATGCTGAGAAACATGAGTAAGATGTATAAGCTACTTTCCTCAAAGAGCTTAAAAATGAATGGGGAAAGGTGATATGTAGATTACTACAAAGCAAAATGTCTGAAGTCTGTTGCTTGCTGTCCATTCTTCACACGTGTTCTTTGCAAAACATAGTTTGATCTTGCTCAGTATCCATCTCTTCCCATATGACTAGAGAAAGGTAAACCCACCACTAACTGACATTTAAGTCCCCATTGGCCTAAGCCAATGTTTAGTTAAAGGGTAAGCATCTGACTCAATTTTAGCCTTAAGAGATATAAAAGGATATCTGATGGAGGACTTTGGGGAAAGGTTTCTTCTTGAGGAGATACCAAAAGAGATGGTTGAGATGGTCCCTTTTTTCTTCCCATGAATATTGCCAAGTTTGGGACTGCACCTACCACGTTGACTTGAAGGAAGCCAGCCTAAGAGCAAAGCTGACACACTGAATGATGCATGAAGTAGTCAAAATGTACCCTAAAGCATGGGTATTAAAGCATGCAGATTTCATTCCAGGCCAAGCAAAGATGAAGCAGCAGAGAAACATGGGGTTATATGTTCATAGTTGAACAAATTAGTGCCTACATATGGTTTTATACATTTTTCTTTCTTTTTTTTATGTTTATTTTTGGAAATAGAGAGACAGTGCGAGCAGAGGAAGGGCAGAGAGAGGGATATACAGAATCGGAAGCAGGCTCCAGGCTCTGAGCTGTCGGCACAGAGCCCACTGCAGGGCTTGAACTCACAAACTGTGAGATCATGACCTGAGCTGAAGTTGGATGCTTAACCGACTGAGCCACCCAGGCACCTCTATAAATTTTTCAATGTATTAAAAACAGTTCAAACTTAGACACTTTGACTACAGATGAATAAGATACCAAACTCCTATGGCACTTCACTTTTCTCTCTAGAATTCTAGGATATTTGATCAAATTGGCGATTGTGGTAGCCAGCTGCCAAGATAGCCCCCCAATGATTATTAAATCCCTTATGTACGCTTTTAATAGGTAAACTTTATTTTTATTTTTTCAAGTTTGTTGATTTATTTTGAAAGAGAGAGCTCACAAGTGGGGAGCTTCAGAGAGAGGGAGAGAATCGCAAGCTGGCTCCACTCTTAGCGTGGAGCCTGATGTGGGGCTCGATCCCACGACCATGAGATCATGACCTGAACAAAATCAAGTCTGTTGCTTAACCAACTGAGCCTCCCAGGCACCCCAAACTTTATTTATTTTGAGAGAGAGAGCCAGCACAAGTGGGGGAGGGGGTGAGAGGGGGAGAGAGAATCCCAAGCAGGCTCCGCAATGTCAGCACAGACCCCAATGTGGGGCTCGAACCCGTGAACTGTGAGATCATGACCTGAGCTGAAATTAGGAGTGGGACACTTAACCAACTGAGCCACCCAGGCACCCCTGTACACTTTTTGTTTATTTTTTTAGTAATCTCTATATCCAATGTGTAACTCTTAACTCATGACCCTGAGATCAAGAGTTACATGCTTTCCCAATGAAGCCAGCCAGTTGCCTCCCTGGTATGTACATTTTTGTGTGGATCTCTTTCATACTAAATTGGGCTGGCCTGTATAATAAGATACTGTGAAAATGATGTGTGACTTCTGATGTTAGGTCATAAAAGACATTGTGGCTTCTGCTTTGCTCTCTTAACTCACCTGCCCAGTGTGAGAAAGCTGCCATGTGTGAAGCAGTTAAGTAGCCTTATGAAGGGTCCTGGTGCAGAACTGAGGTTCCCACCAAAATCAGGCATCAACTTGCTAGAGTGAACCAACCATCTTGGAAGAATAGCCTCGAGGCCCAGACAAGTCTTTGGATGACGGCAGAGATACCCCCCACCAACTAGGACCACCCAAATAAGATGCTCCCAAATTTCTGACCTATGAATACTATGTGAGATGTTTATTGTTGTATTAAGCCAGTAAATTTGGGGTGATTTGTTATGCAGCAATAGGTAATTAATACAGTAATTCCTAAACTTTGAGGAAGAGAAAATATGATCAGAAGAGACCAGTCACAACAGACTATTATCCTTTCCTCTTTTCAATAGGTCACCTAATGTCTTTCATGAATTTAGCAGCACTTCCTATCTTTATTTTCTCAATGACACTAGTCTCTAATATTTGCAGGGGCACCTGGCTGGCTCAGTTGGTAGAGCATGTGACTCTGGATCTCAGAGTTGTGAGTTTAAACCCCACGTTAAGGCGCCTGGGTGGTGCAGTCAGTTGAGCGTCCGACTTCAGCTCAGGTCACGATCTCGCGGTCCGTGAGTTTGAGCCCCGCGTCGGGCTCTGGGCTGATGGCTCAGAGCCTGGAGCCTGTTTCCGATTCTGTGTCTCCCTCTCTCTCTGCCCCTCCCCCGTTCATGCTCTGTCTCTCTCTGTCCCAAAAATAAATAAACGTTGAAAAAAAAATTAAAAAATAAAAAAAAATAAACCCCACGTTAAGGGTAGAGTTTGTTTGTTTATTTATTTATTTATTTATTTATTTATTTATTTATTTATTTATTTATTTATGTTTATTTCCTTTTGAGAGAGAGAGAGCAGGGAAGGGCAGAGAGAGAGGGAGACACAGAATCTGAAGCAGGCTCCAGGCTCCAAGTTGTCAGGACAGATTCCAATACAGGGCTTGAACCCACAAACCATGAGATCATGAACTAAGGCAAAGTTGGACGCTCAACCTACTGAGCCACCCAGGTGCCCCGAGTTTACTTCAAAAATAAATAAATAGGAATGCCTGGGTGGCTCAGTTGGTTAAGCATCCAACTCTTTTTTTTCAGCTGAGGCCATGATCTCATGGGTTTGAGCCCTGCATGGGGCTCTGTGCTGACAGCATGAAGCCTTCTTGGGATTCTCTCCCTCTCTCTCTCTGCCCCTTCCCTGTTTGTGCACATGTGCATAGGTGTTCTCTGTCTCTCAAAATAAATAAACTTAAGAAAAAAAATAAAAAATAAAATGAAATTATGCTATTAATTTAGTTGTTTATTTCTCCCTCCCGAATTGTATTCATTCCTGTATCTCCAGTAGTGCCTGGAACTTGTTCAACAAAATGAACAACTTAAAAGGAACAAACTGGCCTTTTTGAACTGACACTCAAGTCAGATAAGTAACCCATTGATGCTTTTTCCAAATCAAGTCTCTAGGCTAAATGATACGGAAAGACCATTTTGCAAGACTTGGGATAAATTTTAACATGTCTTAAAGAACTGGGCTTAATCTGTAAATTATGTTTTATAATAGGGAAATCTCCAGATTAAGCTAACATTGAAATTAAAACAAAAACTATAAAAGCACCTATGGAAGAACGTGTAAGTATTGGAGAAGACTTTTCAGTTTGACATAATACCCAGAAGCCATGAATTCAGCAATACCAAAATGACTTCCTGCAAGTTCAAAAAACAATAACAAAATCAAAGCCAAAATTATAAAGAACCAATTTCACTAATAAATAAACATATCACACAAACCATAAAAGATCAGTCATCCATTAGAATGATGGGCAGAAGATATTAACAGTCAGTAGGCACTGTCAGTTAATGGTAAAGAAAATAAAGATGGCTGTCAAACACAAGATGCTCATCCTCATTCATAATGATAAAAGTAAAATTTTTTTTTAATTTTTTTTTTAACGTTTATTTATTTTTTTGGGACAGAGAGAGACAGAGCATGAACGGGGGAGGGGCAGAGAGAGAGGGAGACACAGAATCAGAAACAGGCTCCAGGCTCTGAGCCATCAGCCCAGAGCCCGACGCGGGGCTCGAACTCACGGACCGGGAGATCGTGACCAGGCTGAAGTCGGACGCTTAACCGACTGCGCCACCCAGGCGCCCCAAAAGTAAAATTTTAAGAATGGCAAAATAAAACCTTTATAACATCCTGTATTATTGAGAGTGGGAAGAAATCAGTCTCATTCATTGCTGTTAGGCTGTTAATTGATAGAACTTCTATGAAGGGCAACTTGGAGACATGCGTGTGTATACACATATATGATCAAAATCCTCATACCCCTTGACATAGCAATTACATGTCTAGGAATTTGTCTTAAAAATATACTTGTTCACATGTGCTAAATAATATATGCAAAAATTTTATTCAGTGCAGAAGTGTTTCTAATAGCATAAGACTAGAATTTAAATATCCATCAGTGGAGGGGCACCTGGGTGGTTCAGTCAATTAAGCACCTGACTCTTGATTTCAGCTCAGGTCATGATCTATTGATTCATGGGTTCGAACCCTGTGTCAGGCTCTGTGATGACAGCAGAGCTTGGGATTATGTCCCTTCTCTCACAAAAATAAACATTTATAAACAAATAAATATTCATCAGTGGAGAATGCTTAAATTATGGCTCATCCATATAATAGAACATTATATGGCTATAACGAGAATTTTAAGAAGCTCCTTATGTACTTTATAGATTAATTCCAATTTGTTAATACAAAAAAGGTGCCAAATGGTATATATGGAATGTTATTTCTTGAAAAAAAAAAAGGTATTTCACATACATGACATGTATATATGCATGTCCTTGCATGCATACACACACACACACACACACACACACACACAATGTATACATAAAATATCCCTCAAAATATAAATCGTAACACTAGGTACCTCTAAGGATGGAACTGTGTGGCTGGGGGACAGGGAAGGGAAGATATTTTTCACTGTGTATCTTTTCAGTGTATATCCTTTTGAATTTTTAACTACATGAATGTTATCTACTTTTAAATAATGTAAGAAAAAAAAAGTAAGAGGCCTGACTCAAAATGTTAAGGGATGTCTGGTGCCCTCCTTTTACAATTAATTCTTAAACTAAGAGGAGCTATGTGATTTGTCACATGTCACATAACTAGTATGTAAGCAACACAGGATCAGAGCTTAGATTTGATTAGGCTTTCTCTTTAAAGTTGCTGGGGCGCCTGGGTGGCGCAGTCGGTTAAGCGTCCGACTTCAGCCAGGTCACGATCTTGCGGTCCGTGAGTTCGAGCCCCGCGTCGGGCTCTGGGCTGATGGCTCGGAGCCTGGAGCCTGTTTCTGATTCTGTGTCTCCCCCTCTCTCTGCCCCTCCCCCGTTCATGCTCTGTCTCTCTCTGTCCCAAAAATAAATAAACGTTGAAAAAAAAAATTTTTTTTTAAAAAAATAAAGTTGCTTAATGGCAAAAGAAACCATGTAAACACTCTCCACATAAATAAATCAAAACATTAAAAACAATTTTTTTTTTTTTTTTTTAAATGGGGCACCTGGGTGGCTCAGTTGGTTAAGCGACTGACTTCAGCTCAGGTCATGATCTTAGGATTCATGAGTTTGAGCCCTGCAAAGGGCTCTGTGCTGACAGCTCAGAGCCTGGAGCCTGCTTTCAATTCTGTGTCTCCCTCTCTCTCTGCACCTCCCCCACTCGCTTGCTCTCTCTCAAAGATAAACATTAAAAAAAAAAATCTTTTTTAATCAGAAGTTCAAAACTCTATTTTGTTGTGGGTACAGTGAAAACAGCAATTAACTTGCTGGAAGAGACATGATTTGGTATCACTCTGGAGAGCAATCTGGCAGTCCTTATCAAGAAGGTTAAAAGTGTTCATAACCAGTTTGTGCATTGTTGAAAGAGTACAGAGAAGACTTGTCTTATCAAATATCAAACTTGAATACAAAAGTTTGTTTATATTTATATTGAATACAATGTGGTAGAATAGAGAAATCAATGGGACAATCCTATAAAACCCAGGAATAGACTTAAAGATTTAATGTATAATAAAGATGTTACCTCAAACTTCAAGGTGGGGAGTGGTGGTGGGTAAAAACAAATAATAAAGCTGAGACAAGCTAATCATTACTTACAAAATAAAAGTCAGATATGTAGACCCTACAGTAAATAAATTATGGATTAATTAAATGTTCAAAAGAAAAAACTACAAGAATGAGATTTGAGTAGCTACAAAAACCTGCACATCAAACTAGGACAAATATAACAAGTTAGTACCTCCAATATATAAAACCTTATGATCCATGTTGGTTGGTAGTAATGCAAAATGGTGCAGCCACTATGCAAAACAGTATATAAGTTCCTCAAAAAATTAACAATAGAGGGATGCCTGGGTGTCTCAGTCTGTTAGGCCGACTCTCGATTTGGGCTTAGGTCATGATCTCACAATTCATGAGTTCAACTGGGCTCTGCACAGACACTGCGGAGCCTGCTTGGAATTCTCTCTTAAAATGAATAAGCTTAAAAAAAAAGATGCAGAGGTGGGTGCCTGGGTGGGTCAGTCGGCTAAGCATCCAACTCTTGATCTTAGCTTAGGTCATGGTCTCATGGGTTGTGAGATCGAGCCCCATGTTGGCCTCTGCGCTGACAACATGGAGCTTGCTTGGGACTCTCCCTCCCTCTTCCTCTGTCCCTCCCCTGCTGGTACCCCTACCCTTCAAAAGAAATAAATAAATAAGCTTTAAAAAAAATAGGGGGGCACCTGGCTGGCTCAGTCAGTAGAACATGTGACTCTTTTTTTCCCTTTTTTTAATGTTTATTTTTGAGAGAGAGAGAGAGCAAGTGGGGAAGGGGCAGAGAGAGGGAGACACAGAATCTGAAACAGGCTCCAGGCTCTGAGCTGTCAACACAGAGCACGATGTGGGGCTTGAACTCACGAACCATGAGATTATGACCTGAGTTGAAGTCAGATGCTTAACCGACTGAGCCACCCAGGCACCCCAAGGAACATGTTGACTGTTGATCTTGGAGTTGTGAGTTGGAGCCCCGTGTTGGGTATAGAGATTACTTTAAAAAAAAAAAAAAAAAAAAAAAAAGTCTTTAAAAACAAATACTGTAGTCCTATCTAGCAATCCCACTTCTGTGTATTTGTCCAAAAGAATTGAAATCAGAATCTCTAAGAGATGGTAGCACTTCCATAATTGCAGCACGATTCACAAGAGCTAAGATGTGGAAACAACCTAAATGTTCATCCACTAGAAGAATGGATAAATATGGCATATAGATACAATGGGATATTATTCAGCTTTAAACAAGGAAATACTGCAATGTGACATGACTAAACCTTGAGGACATTATAAGTGAAATATTCAAACACACAACAAATACTACATGATTCCATTTATGACTTATCTAAAATAGTCACTCATAGAAGCAGAGTAGAATGGTGGTTGCCAAGAACTAGGGAGAGGAGGGAAATGGGGAACTGCTAATCAAGACATAATGATCCAGATAAGCAAGACGAAAAAGTCCTAGAGATGTGCTGTATAACCCTATGCCTATAATTAAAAATACTGTATTGTAAGTTAAAAATCTGTTAAGGTAAATCTCATGTTGTGTTCTTACATAAATAGAACAATAAAATAGAAGTGAAATCTTATAATCCCAACTTTTTAAATAAAAATCTTTGTAAAACATACATTTTCTACCTAATAGGAGGGAAAACAATCTTAATGGTAATGCTCATACAACACAATAGCTCCCTGGGAATTTTATTATCAATTTCCCAAATTTTTTGTGGAGAATAGTTTAAGCCATGCTTTTAAGTCAAACAAATCTGAGTTCAATCCCTAACTATGACTTAAAATTGGTGTCACCTGGGGCACCTGGGTGGCTCAGCCGGTTAAGTGGCTGACTTCAGCTCAGGTCACGATCTAACGGTTCATGAGTTCAAGCCCTGCATTGGGCTCTGTGCTGACAGCTCAGGGCCCGGAGCCTGCTTCAGATTCTGTGTCTCCCTCTCACTCTGCCCCTCCCCTGCTCACACTGTCTCTCTCTCTCTAAAATAAATAAATATTAATTTTTAAAAAAAAAAATGGTGTCAACCTGAGCAAGTTATTCTTTCACCTATGAGGAAACGAGTATCTGCCTCACAGAGCTGCTAGGATTACATGCAGTTAAACCAGATTATGTTAAATGCCTAGAACAGTGCCTGGAAATGCTCAAGAATAGCATTATCACAAAAATTCCCGTTGGAATTTTACCTTTAATTCTTCACTATTTTTGTTTGATCAAAGGGTAAATGACAACATATTATTGTGAAACACAGTTCCCCACCCTCAACACCATTATTTTCACCCAAATTTCTCATGCCAAAATCCTTTTCCCTATTAATTCCCAATATAATCTCACAACCTAAAATTATTTTTTTTTAAGCAATTCTGCTAGAGAAGCATTATGGGACAAAATGGATACAAAAAAATTCCCCCATCCTTCTAAATTAGGTTATAAATGGAGCCCTGAAATTTTTTTAAAAAATATTTTTTTGAGAGAGTGTGAGTGGGGGAAGGGGCAAAGAGAGAGGGAGACACAGAAATTCGAAGCAGGCTCCAGGCTCTAAGCTGTCAGCAGAGAGCCCGATGTGGGGCTTTTGAACTCAAGGACAGTGAGATCATGACCCGAGGCGAAGTCAGACACCTACTGACTGAGCCACCCGGGAGCCCCTATGGAGCCCTGAAATTTTAAATACACCAGGTAATTCTAAGAATGAACCAAGGTTTGGAAATTATCGCCTTGGGATCTCAAAACTCATTCGCTTGGGTGTTCAAAAAACAGAATTGGGAAATGGTAAAGCCATGGCCTCTGGACTGGATTACTAACTCTACTATTTACCAGCCACGTAGCCTTGAACAAGTTTCCTCATCTCCTCTGAGTCAGTTTTGTCATTGGTAAAACCAGGACATCTGAGCTCAACAAGGTTTTAAGAGCAAAGCACATTATCTAGCTGTGCCTAGGGCACAGTAGGACACTGATGACCCGCTCCGATACTGTAAATAGAGCTTTCAATCATAATTTTTATCTTAGTATGACAAAAATTAAGCCCTAGTATACCAATGACACTTACATTAATGTAAA